GTGTCAGCGCTACTGAAGTAGCAATCGTGTCCTGGCCGAAAACTATTTTAGCGCTTATAAGCGCTTGCTAGCGCTTTTTTCTGCCAAACGCACCCAATGAGTATGTATAGGTTCCATATTTATATGTTTGTATTACCAATTGACCTATTCGCTAGCTTCGTTGCCATCAAAACTATTCAGTGTAGCTTTTCAATAAGATCTACAAAGTCTTGTAAAGCGTAGGACGCAATATATTACAAAGTAACCATATTCATGTCAACAAAATTAGCGAATAGGGTTGCCGCTCGCAGTTAGAAAAGTTAACCTATCTAGACAAAATTAGGAATTCAAATACTATCTTATTTTTTTTTAATAAGATAGTAAGCGCTTTCGAGAAACCAATTACATTAAAATATACATGTATACAATAATTGCTCGCAGTAGGTATTGATAAGATACATTTTCGGGTAGTGATCACTATCACGTATAATATTCAAAAATATGCAATAATAATTTAAAAACAAGATCAATATTTAAAACCGTAATTAAAAGAAATTTGACTCCGTAAACCAATTTACTGAAAAGAGTAAAAAATTTCAACCCTATGTTACTTAATCAACTAACATAAAGTTAATGACACGCTATAAGTTAAAATGTATCCAGCCGTTCAGGCTACATAGCGTACAAAAGAAATAGAAATGCATATTACTAATGTAGTAAACTAATGGATTAGCAACATTTGTTTCTTCATTCAGTAGTGCGACATTATCACTATTATTTTTTAATATGTATTCTTTTTTTTTATAGGATAGGGTGACAAACGAGCACACAGTCCACCTGATGGTAAGTTGTTGCTGCGGCCCATAGACATCTACATCTATCTTCCATTACAAATCAAAATGCAGATGCGTTGTCACCCGTGAGGACTCAGATGGAATGCCTCATTTCCAGTAAAAAGGGTCTCCGGTTCTCTACACTCACCATACGAAATACAGCAGCATTAAGCTACTATTTCACGCTGGTATTCTGTGAGAGCGTGGTCCTTCTCCGGTCGAGCCGACCCATTCGTGCTACAAATATACTACTAATTTAATTGCAGCATGGCTCTACCACGTAATAAATAATAAATATTCTCTAGTAGTCTAGATGTTTCAGCACAAATGCGCAGCTCTTCAAGTATGTAAGACTTTAAATTATGGTGAGTATAGAGATCCGGAGACTGTTTTTTTACTGCAAACGAGGCATTCCATCTTAGTCCTCAGGGGTGACAACGCATCTGCATTTTGATTTGTAATCGAGGTAAAATGGAAATGTCTATGTACTCGTTTGTCACCCTTATTCTATAAAATACGACGTTTTCCTTCACCGCTGAGAACCTGGTGTTTAATAGTGAACAATTCTTAGGTTGGTGACCTTTTGTAAATAACCAAATACCTACTTTATCATTTTGAAAACGTGTTAATTTTGATGAAGTTCTAAATTTGCGTGGTAGAGTCACTCAGCAACTATATTATAGTTAAAGCATGAGTGGGTCGGCTCGACCGGGGTAGGACCACGCTCTCACAGAATACCAACGTAAATAGCAGCTTGATGCTGCTGTGTTTCGTGCGGTGAGTGTAGAGAACCGGAGACCCTTTTTACTGGAAACAAGGCATTCCATTTTAGACCTCAGGGGTGACAACGCACCTTCATTTTGATTCTCAATTGAGAATCAGGTGGACTATGTGCTCGTTCGTTACCCTTTGTTATAAAAAAGTGATTATAAGTTATAAAATAGGTATTAAATTATGTCCAGTAATTGCTGCGGTAACTCTCTTATTGTAGATTTATAAATAAAATAAATAAATAAATTCTCTTTATTTCAGGAACACCCGTATAACTTATCAACAAAAAAAGACAACACAGTACAACATTCACAAAAAAATTTATAAAAATGTTCTTTCTTTCTTTCAAAATATAAACAAATAATATATAAAATTCGATAGTTCTACAATTATATCATAGGTATTTTTCTGTTTGAAAAATTCTTGTTCTGCAAAATGCATAAAAATGTTCTTTCTTTCTTTCAATATATATACAAATAATATATAAAATTCCATAGTTTTTAGTTTATATAACAGGTATTTTTCTGTTTGAAAAATTTATGTTCTGCAAAATGTATAAGCAATAAATAAAAATGTTCTTTCTTTCTTTCAAAATATAAACAAATAGTATATAAAATTCGATAGTTCTTCAATTATATCATAGGTATTTTTCTGTTTGAAAAATTCATGTTCTGCAAAATGCATAAGCAATAAATAAAAATGTTCTTTCTTTCTTTCAAAATATAAACAAATAATATGTAAAATTCGATAGTTCTTCAGTTATATCATAGTTATTTACTTCCCACTGTTAACCTCAAAGTATGATCATATGATGTCTACTCGTAACTTATTGAAGTTAAATTAAACTTGAACACATTTAGGATATCACAAAATGTCCTTGGACATCCTGCATATTCTGCTGTTGCATACTTATTATTTTGTGGAAGGGACAAGGCTAGAGTTTTAACAGAGATAGTTGATATTTTAATTTTACTTTTATACCTACTTTTGCTTTGAATCTAAGAGTACATGTAATTTAAAGTATGTAAGAGCACACCAGTATTATAATTATATGGTCTTGACTTTCTTTATACTGTAGTCTATATACAAAATTTGATCGACTTAGGTTCGTCAGTGATAAAGTGGAACAGATACTGTCCACGTTATTTCCACATTTTATAAGTTTTACACGTGCTAAAGCCAACCTTGTAGCATGAATGAGTCAGCATGACCGAGGGAAGACCACACTGTTACAGAAATATCGGCTTAATATAGCTTGCGTGCGAGTGAAGAGAAACGGAGACTTTTTCGAAACGAGGCATTCCATCTTAGTCCTTAGGCGTGACAATACATCCGAGTCTTGATTCTTAAAAGAAGACAGACATGTCTTTGTACATGTTCGTGAGCCACAACCACCACTTAATATCAATTTACAAGAATATTTCTCGAGTTGTGCATAGCCCATTTCTACGAGTGTGTTTAATCATAAGTTTTTAAAGTTTAGTTATATGTCTATTTTCTCTTAGGTGTAATTAGGACATTTAACATTATTTTAAACTAGTTCAGGAAACTAGAAGGTTCTATATTCCACGTTGAAACAGCTGAATCGATTTAAATGCTTATACTTCAGGGATGGCTCTTTATATATAAAAAATCATCGTTACCTCGAACTTATGATATTCTTTTGACCACTCGTAATTAAAACTCACTAAAATGTAAAACCGTTTTTAAACAAAATTATCCTTGAAATAAGTTTAATTCTTACTTACTCACACGTGAGGACTAAAATATAATGTCTCTTTTCTAGTAAAAAAGATCACCGGATCTCTACCCTCACCATACGAAACACAGCAGCGATTTGCTGTTATTTTACGTTAGTATTCTGTGAAAGCAAGGCCTGCCCTGGTCGAGTCGACCCATTCATGCTACAACTATACTATTAAATTGCTGCAGCATGGCTTTACCACGAAATATCAAAAGTTTTCAAAATTTTTACAGTAGTCTAATTATTTAACTATCTGGGTTAGCTATTATTTATTATTTGGTATAGTTATTTATTTAGTTTAAAAGTATTTTCCTGCATGTCTTACCAGGTCGTCACTCCATCTAGTGCTACACTACGCCTACCGGTACGAGGCTGCCACTCGAGCACCTTTCTTCCCCATCGGTTATCGGTTCTTAGAGCTATATGGCCGGCCCATTGCCACTTCAGCTTACTAATCCATTGGGCTATGTCGGTCACTCTGGTTTTACTGCGGATATCCTCATTTCTAAGTCGATCACGCAGAGAAAATCCGAGCATAGCCCTCTCCATAGCTCGCTGAGCGACCTTGAACGTCTTCATACGGTGACGATGAGTGACGACCTGGTAAGACATGCAGGAAGTCGATGGATGCAGGTGGCTCAGGATCGTGCTTTGTGGCATTACTTGGGGGAGGCCTATGATCAGTAGTGGACTTGTGAAGGGCTGTTATGATGATGATGATGAAAAGTTTTTAATTATAATATTATAAATGCTAAAAACTTTCATTACTTATACTAGAAGTATTAACCATTCAATCAAAGCTTACAATGCTTCAACTAAGAATGTAAATAGAAATTTAATACTGTTTTCTTATATCAGTGTGAATACTACACATAAAATAAAACCAATGTGTATTTTAACACGCTTCAGATTTACTCAAGTTTTAACCTTAACTTACGATAATAAAGTCTAAAGTGATTTATTTGATAACAATTACACGAATAAAAGTTTAATTTAAGATGTACTGCAAATCACTTTATCAAGTTAAGTTTCGACTGTATAAATTAATAGTGGCAGCGTTTAACTTATTTCTTATTCAATCAAAACAAGCTCTGTTTGAGTTTCGAATCTAGGAATCATGACTTAGTCAAGTTTACCGTCTTTTAGCGTCCTATTGCTGATTGTTAATTTTTGTGTATATTCATCACGAAGTAAAACGGTAGTTTTTTTTTCAATTTCAAATAATGTAATAAATAAGTGTCGAAAAAGAGTTTGGATTTTTAAATCACGTGACGAATGCCTTGACAGGATCAATGTCAGAATGCCAGGACAGGTCTTAAAAAGATCAGAATCAGAAGTTATAGTTCAAAGTAATTATAACTTAAATGTATGTAAGAAATATTGTTTACCAAAGACGCGTCTGTGTAACATAATCTTTGGTAAGACTGAGATGGGTGCATTGAGACGCGACCAAAATAGATCGTGTTGCGTACGCGCATGCCGCACTCCTGTCTCCTACACAGCGCGCGCTTCAAAATTAAGGATACATGGATGTTTTATTAAATTAATTAAAAAAATTATAAATCGAGTCTGTGAAAATTTTTCGATATGAATCGATAGTTCGAATAGTGTTGTACCTTGTGATTAGTGTTTTATGGACATTAGATTAATTTGTTTGTTTAAAATAAGTGATAATGTGGTGGTTCATATTATGTGCCGCCTTTGTGTGCTTGCACAGGGAAGCTGCTGGTTAGTTTAATTTTCTTATATTTTGCAGATTGTTGTTACACATAACTATGAAATAAAACACGGTTGATCCAGAATAAAAGTATTTTAAAACAGCACGATGGTTTATTATGTTTTTTACATATTTTCTATATTAACCTTTATAACATAATATAAAATTAAAATAGGTGCAAGTCACTTAAAAATAATTGTAATTTAATTTCGAGGTAATTATTTCATTAAGTGAAAAATTTCCTAGCTTTATTTAAATCAAATTAGTAAATATTTGCAAAGAGTTCAACCTTTTCCTATTTTTTTAAAATGATACAGTTATTACGTTTAAATATTTTTTAAATAAAATATTAAATATATTTTATATTTTTTAATCTAAAATTGAAACCAATAAGTTCATAATAAAAAAATTAAAGTATAAATTTGCATAAAAATATAATTTTATATGAGTATTGCGTAAAGAGTGTGTACTAGGAAAACATCAATGAACAGTGCTAATTATGATTACTTTATAATCGATGTTAAATATTTGTTTTTAATTTTACATTAAACTTCTATACATTCTCCCTGCATTTCAAAAAGGGATATGATTATGAATACATTTATTTAATTCTCCCAATTCCTTTCCAAAGTTGGTGAATTAATCAATTAAATATAAAAATTTGTTATAATTAAAGTAATTATATACGATTATTTTTATCTTTAATTTCGTTTCCACAAGCTGGTTTGTTTCGTCGCCAAGCAAGTGGTTAAACCAGCACTCGCTATTGACTTTCTCTAGGTATTTTCCGAACCTTTATAAATTGAACAAGAAAAAAAATGTTTACAATAATTATTTTTTATACGAGCTGGTTTGGCAGTGAAACTGCCCTGTACGGCGAAAATGTCTACAAAAATCCTGTCCTATAAAAATCCTTAAATTCGCAATAAAAATATTGAGGATCACATCGGGATAATGACTATCCTATCTCTCAAAACTTCATTGTAATCAGTTCAGTAGTTTAGGAGTTCAACGCGGACAAACAATGTTTTACGTAATTTTATATATAAAGATATTCAAAAAAGTCTATTTTTATAAAATGGGCACTAAGTAGCGTTCAACTTAGATATTTCGTGTACTTCAATGAAATTCAAGCCTAGCACTATGCCTATGAGATAGGCGTAGAGTCGTGACTATCACTAAGACAACCTTTGGGTTGGTGTTGTTTTTACGACAAAACTTTTTTTTATAAAATAAGAGTGACAAACGAGCACACCGTCTACCTGATTGTAAGTGGATGCTGTGGCCCCACATATAGACATCTACATTTATCCTCGATTAAGAATCAAAATGCAGATGCAGCGTTGTCACCCATGAAGACTAAGATGGAATGCCTCGTTTCCAGTAAAAAGGGTCTCCGGATCTCTACACTCACCATACAAAACACTACCACAAACAGTATTAAGCTGCTATTTTACGCTGGTATTTTGTAAGGGCGTGGTCCTTCCGCGGTTGAACTGACCCATTCGTGCTAAAATCAAATAGCTGCAGCGTGGCTCCATCTCTTATGAAAAAAACTGAACTTTTAGTCCACGAAGTTTTCGATACGACTGCACGTTTTTTTTGTATATGATGCGATATATTCGCTATGTGGTACGCCAATTATTTTGTAATCAAATAGTTTTAATGTATGTGAAGATTTTATTAAAGCAACTATTGTTTTAAATATTATTTTCTACCATATGTATGGAAAAATAGGGTTATTGGTTAGGTGTAACCTTAAGGTTATAAAAAGTTTAATTATTGATGCTTGAGATGATATGAACTAGTAATATTATTTGATCTGACTCTTCTTGTAATTCGATTGTTACTATTTTCGGGTATACCATACTAAAAGTTTTTTTGACTGCCTCTTTGGTCTAGTGGTTGTAGTAGTGCGACTACTGATTATGAGGTCCTTGGTTCGAATCCCGGGTCGGACCAAAAAATCAATTATTGAGTTTTTTCTGTCAAGAAATTCTCAGTAGCTGCCCGGAGTCAGGAAGCTGGTGGTGTCTCTCCCCCGTGCCTCGGAAAGCACGTAAAGCCGTTGGTCCTGCGCCTGATCTCTCTACGGTCGTGTCGGTTTACCGTCCCATCGGATTATGAGAGTGAAGGAATAGAGAGTGCACTTGGGCACCATAATCCGGCCTTGCGCTATGGCTAGCCCTCGTTGAGGCAGGCCGCCGTTGTGGCCGATAATCGGTCTGGAGGTAGATTTGACTAACAATTTAAAAATAATGATTTCTTATATTTACGCGAACACTACACATTGAAATAATACTAGTTTTTACGGAATTTATCGCGTATATTTAACTTTTTAAATACCCGACGTTTCGAGAGCTTTACAGCACCCATGGTGACGGGAAGGACTGAGATGTTCAACGTCCAGCTGTCATAGTTAACCGCGGTTACCATAGATTAAAATTTAACTTTTGTTCCGATCTACACAGTATGAACTTATGGTATCATGGAGTCTTGCAGTTGTATGCTTGGGTTGGGATTTAATTTTATTTATTATAGGATCCCAAGCAGATGGTAGCACCCAGCCATTTTCTCTATTGAAATTAGGATGTTTTTTGATTTCAATAGCCTCGCGAATCATCCTTGGAAGGAATCGGTGTTCTTTAGCGAGGATTTGTGGTCTATCAAATCTGATGTAGTGACGGGGGCGATCCTGTACATGTTCACAGACTGCAGACTTCCCGGAGCGTCGATTCTTCACATCAGCTATATGTTCTTTGACGCGGGTTTTAATTGATCTTTTAGTTTGTCCTATGTAGGAGAGACCACATTCACAATCAAGCTTGTACACTCCTGCATCTTGCAGAGGGACGTTACACTTGACTGATGGTAAAAACTGACCAATCTTCTTCGGCGGCTTGAAGCTTGAAGATGGCTGGGTGCTACCATCTGCTTGGGATCCTATAATAAATAAAATTAAATCCCGACCCAAGCATACAACTGCAAGACTCCATGATACCATAAGTTCATACTGTGTAGATCGGAACAAAAGTTAAATTTTAATCTATGGTAACCGCGGTTAACTATGACAGCTGGACGTTGAACATCTCAGTCCTTCCCGTGACCACGAGTGCTGTAAAGCTCTCGAAACGTCGGGTATTTAAAAAGTTAAATATACGCGATAAATTCCGTAAAAACTAGTATTATGTCAATAACAATTTAAAAAGTTTAAAAGTATTTTAAATTTAAGTCATTTTTATTTTTAGTTCAGGTTTTTTAATTACTAATTGTTTGAATCCTCCCCAACAAAAAACAGTACAATTTTATGTTATAAATAAATTACATTGCCATTAGGTATTGAAATACTTTTTTTATATAAATAGGGTGACAAACGAGCTACAGTCCACCTGATGGTAAGTGGATGCTGTGGCTTATAGACACCTAAATGTAACCCGCATTAAAAATTAAAATTTAGATGCTCCGTTACTACCTATGAGGAATAAGTCGTTTCCAGTAAGAAGGGTATCCGGTTCTCTATACTCGCCATACGAAACAACGGCATGGAATGGAAGCTTCTATTTCGCCTCGTGTAATGCTTCAGTATTCCCGCGACTGCATCTTAAAGCTGTAGAGGACGTTCAGTTACTTAGTATAGATCTTTTATTTGACAAAAATGGTTGATTGAATATTATTTTCATATTGCCTTTTTGTGAGAACCTTTGTGAAAACGTCACCCTTCGCGCCACTTCCCGTGGGTTCCGCAGACTGCACCGACGGTAGCATTACTGAACATTACATTACTGAATACTGTTCCCCTCTCTGGATCGGGGCTTCCTAGTGCCAGCTTCTTCCATTAAATCGCATCCAGCGCAGAGCGATTCAAATAGTCAGCGACCAAGCACTTCCTGCTTGACTCACCGGCGCTGCGAAGAGATATTGCATCTCTTTGCTATTCTATCGTATTTACCACGGGCATTGCTGAGATGAATTGTTCGTACTTATTCCAACCGCTCCATTTCACCATCGCACATCGTGACAGAATTCGAGATACCATTTTACCACCTCGATGCTTGGTGGTCCACTACAGTGCGATTTACAAGAAGTTTTCGTGCTCGAACAACTTCCTTGTGGAATCAACTACCGCCCGCAATTTTCTGGATCGATATGACTTAGGGACCTAAAAAAAAGAGCTTACTATTTTTTAAAAGGCCGGCAATGCATCTGCAATTCCCCCGGTGTTGCTAAATGCAACACCAGGGGAATTGCAGTTGCCCCTCTACTATAAAAAAATGTAAATTGAGCCTAAAACTTCTATTTATCGGTACTGGTATTCCGTGAGAGCATGGTACTCCACGGCTGACGACCCATTCGTGCTGCAACTATAATATATAGATGAATAATAGCTGTACCACCTACAACAAGTTAAGTACTTCAAAAATACCTACTGTGATATCCCTTGTAAGAGTAATTTAATTAATGTAACATTGACTCACCGTTCCTCAAAATATTTATATTTATATAACATTTCATCATAATCATCATCATTACAGCCCTTCACAAGTCCACTGCTGAACGTAGGCCTCCCCAAAGTAATGCCACAAAAATAGCATTTACAATCGTTCAAATCACGTTCTTAATAATAAGATATTTATTAAGTTCGCGACTATAGTTCTATTTCGCTAATGTGTAATAATATTAACATTTGATCTGTCCTCACGTTTTTATTGCATCACCATAAACTATATAAAAATCATAGACTTAGGATAGTAGAGTATATTCTAAGCGTAGACAGAGAAACCTATAGACTAATGATTAGCGTGGCCTCGAGTGAGAAAGGACGATAACGTAGTCTTTATGACTTTTAAACATATTTAAATAAAAATTTTAATTGTTCTAAGAACTGAACTGAACAAGATTCACTAATCTTAAGCTCACAAAACACTTTTTTCTCACTTAAACTAACTTGTAAACTCCTTAAATCGCTACGAACTCTTAAAGTTGTTTAGCAAAGTGTAGTGTTTGCTAAACA